GGGGGCGGGGCGGGGGGGCGGGGGCGGCGGGGCCCGGAGCGGCGGGGCCGGGGGCTGCCGGCTGCTCCCAGCGCCCGGCAGCTCCGCAGGAAGCGGCGCAGGCCCGGCCCCGGCGGAGGAGGGGCCGCACCGCCCCCGCCCCGCCACCGGCAGCGCTGCCGCGGCCGCCCCGCACTCGCAGCTGCAGCCGAACCCGAACCCGCACCCGCGCCGGCACCGCCCCGCACCGGGACACGCACCGGGACACGCACCGGGACACGCACCTGCACTGCCCCCGCCCCGCACACAGAGCCGGAGCCGCACACGAATTCGCGCAGGCACCGGCACCGCTCCACACCCACACCGGCGCCGCCCCCGACCCGCAGCCGCACCTGTAAACGCCCCCTGGACAGCCCGGTGCCGCTCCCGGACCCGGGCACCTCACCCGCTGCGGGGCATCAGCCCTGCCCCTGCTCTGCTCCTGATCCCGGGCATCCCCTAGTCCTCACCCCAGTGCCCGTCCTCGGGGCACTCCCGGTCCCATTTTCAGCCCAGAGCGCTGTCCTGGTCCCGCTCCCAGCCCTCGTCCTGTTTATCCTGGAAGGGTGGCACTGGTCCCATTCCTATTCCGGGTCCTGTGTAACCCAGTCCCAGCCCAGGGAACCCCAAATTGCTTCAGTCCTGCTCTGGACACTTGTTCTCGATCCAACCGAAGTCCTGGGGCGCCCCCAGCCCTGTTCCCAATGCCACCTCTGACACTGTGCACCCCACTCCCGGGCACACCCCTTCTCCAGGATACTGCGTTGGGCCACACACCCCTTTAGGGTGCTCAGCAGGGAATTTTAGGGGCGGGTGGGGGGATTGGGGACTATTTGGGGTCTGCTCCCTACTGTGACCCTTTAAGCAATTGGACCAGAGGGGACACCTCACGGGGGCCCCACAGAGAGCTGCGGGGCTCAGACTCCAGCGGGAGCCCCCCAGCACCGTGGGGCAGGCGGAGGGGTGACCTCGCTGCTGAGGTTCATGACGTCATGGGGGCTGGATGGGGGATGCTCCGCGGGGACAGGGGCGGGGGGATGCGACCACCGCCACCGCCACGGCTGAGCACGGAATAATGCCGGGGAGGGGGGGTTCCCCCATGGGAGGGTGGGGAGCAGTGGGGCCGGGAGCGCTGCGCCGGCGGAGGCCGGGGCGGCCGCAGAGGCCCAGCCTTGCATTGTTCTTGGGCGGCAGCCGGAAAACGCGACGCCCGCTCGGGAGAGACGCAGGCGGAAAAGGAAACGGGGCTGGGGGCCCGTGCCTGCTGCTGCTGCTGCTGCGGGGGCGGGAGTGGGGGTCCCCCCACGGCCCCCACCTGGTCCCCACGTGCCGCCTTCACCCCTGCCCCACCATATGCTCGGGCCCGCTGCCCCACGGGGGGAGCGGAGGTCAGCTGGGAGGGGGAAGATCAGCCCGGGAAAGGGGGGAATTTGGGGAGGATGCTGACTGCCAATGGGGCGCCCGTTTGCAGGCTTCCCTGCGGCATGGGAGGCCGCGGTGATGGGCTGAGCGGTGCGGGAGGGAGCCGAAGAAAGAGGAGGATGAAGATGAGGAAGAAGAAGGGGGCGATGCCGGGCAGGGCAACTACAAGTCCCATGAGGCCGGGCGGTGCGGGGGGGGGGACCGGGGAAGCACCGGGCGGGAGGTGGCGGCCCGCCCCGCCCCGCGCCCCCCCCGCCCCGCGCCGCGCCCGCCTCGCCGCTCCAGCATGCACGGAGGATGCTCGCGTCTTGCTCGGGCAGGAAGGGGCCGGAGGGCAGGTACCCGCTGCACTACCTCGTCTGGCACAACCGCGCCCGTGACCTGGACCGGGAGCTCAGCGCCAAGCAGGTGGGGCGGCGGGGGGACACTCCCGGCACGGCACGGCCCGGCTCCGCTCGGCTGGGGCTGATGCAATGATCGGGGCCGGGGTGAGGATGAGGATGGAGATGAGGGGGGATGGGGTCGCTCTCTGCGCTGGCGAGGCCCTGGGGTTGTGGTGTGTGTCCCCATCTGCACCCAGGGGCTGTGCCTGCTGCCCTCGGGTCTGCCACGGAGCGCTGGGTACCACCCGCGGGTCTCCTGCATCCTCCAGCACACGCAGCCCCGAGCATCCCTCCGCACGTGTCCCGTGCTCCCTGCTAGGCCTCTGCAGACCCCCGGTCCGCACCCTGCTTCTCATGGTATTGCCACCCCCCTTGGGGTGCAGCCTTCAGCTCCCCACTCTCAGGCTGAGCCCCTCTTGGGGCGGGGGGACAGGGGCCCTGATGCTGCCAGGGCGCAGCCCCCAGCCTCACAAGGGCTCTCCTCAGGGTGAGGGGACCCACTTTGTCCCTCAGCTCGGGAACCTCCCAGCCGCCCGGTGATGGAGCGGGGTGTGGGTGCTTCCCCGGCGGGTTCCCAGCCTCTCTCTCCCCCGTGGCGTTGTAATTCAGGTAATTAAAACCCAACCCCGAATACGCAGGAAACCGCAGGCGCTGGAGGGAGGCTGACGGGGAAGCTGTGCTGGGCATCCCCAGTCTCCCGGCCTGGGTCCTTAAAGCCCCGAGGCACTGAGGGCCATGCTGGAAGGACCCTGGTGATGCGTGAAACGGGGGTCATTGTGCCGCCAAGCTCCCGCCGGGATGCAGGAGATGGCTCCCGCCACACCCGTCTCCATTGTGGGGTCCAGCCGGAGGCTGCGCCAGCATCACCCTGGTCTCCCTCGCCATGGCCAGTGTTTTTATTTTCGTGCTAATTTGGGTTTTCCCAGGAGCCCAGCGCGGCGGATATCAAAGCTGGGCTTGGCAGATGCGGGGAGGTGGAGGGGCTGCGGGGGGGCTCTGACCCACTCACCTGCAGAGAGGCTCCAGCCCTCCAGCCTGGGAAGCACAGGGGCTCTGCCCTGCTCCCCGCTGACACTGAGAGCAAAACCAGTCATGTGTGCAGCCCAGGGTGCATGCAGGGGGTCTGTGGGTGCTGCAGGCTGCACTCTGGGGCAGGTGGGGCTTGGGGGAAGGAGGTGAGGGCCAGCCCAGGCTCCCTGCTCTGTCCAGGGCACCCAGGGACACGGCTCAGCCCTTATCCCTGCCGGAGCATCCCTCAGGTAAGGAGCTGGTGTTGGGGCTGGTGTTGTGTGAAATGCTGGAGGCCAGGTGCCCCCCTGCCCAGGGCTCTGCCCTCCCTCTGCCTTGGTGACCCCCACAGGGCAGCGGCTCCACGTTCTGCCCCTCCCGAGTGCAGGTATTTGGGCTTGGGAAGCACTGGGGCAGCGGAGAGCATTGCTCCTCTCCGTGTCCTGGTAAGGGCTCTGTGTCTGTCACCCCCAAACTGTCACCGTGAGCTCCCACCCACACTTGCCTCCACAAGGGAGCAAGGATCAGTGGGTCCCCTTGACTGGACATCACAAGGATGTGTGAGGCAGTGACAGGGAGCCTGTTGTGCCAGGACACCCCTCACCACAGCCTGCCCCCTCAGGCGTGACAGGGACCCGGGGCAGCAGTGCCTGGCACCATCTTCCCGTGCTGGCTCATGTTCCCTGTTGCTACCCAGTAGCAGGAGCTGGGATTCTCCAGCCCAGGGACAGCCCCAGTGGAGGGATGTGCTGTGCCACATGCCTGGCTGGCACAGGAGGAGCGACTGAGCTGCGGTTCTGCACTGCACCGCTGCCACCCCGAAGCCACCCCCATCCCTGTCCCCATCCCTGCTGGGTGTCATGGCCCCAGGATGGGCAGCACCTGCAGGTCTGTGCTGTGGTCCCCAAACCGGAGCCAGTCCAACACCAGGGCTCAGGACTGAGCTCTTGCTGGCAAAATCTGGGTCAGCGCCATGTCCCCTGGGGGGGCTCCATTGCCACGTCCCCACACTGGGGACCTTCATCCTGCCCAGTGCTGGGGCAGGGCTGCAGCTGGGGAGTCCCACTGAGCCTGCAGGTCCCCACCTCCAGCTGGGGGGTGATTGCCTTAATTAGAGTAATTTCATTAGTGCAATTAAGAAGCAGCAGTCGCCTGGAGAGCATTGGAGTGACACATTGAGTCCCAGGGAACTGGGGGGGTTGTTTGGTTTGGTGGTGTGGGCAGACTGGGGGGTCCCCCTGCCTGGTGAGTCCTTGGGGATGAGGGCCATGGGAATAGCCACAGCCTGGGCAGAGATGGGAGCATTCCTGGGGCAGCAGGAATGCAGGACATGCCCAGAGAGAGGCAGGGACGTGCTGCAGGTGAGACTGGGTACCAGGGAACCCGTGCTCCACCTCTGCCCATGCCCAAACACCTCTGGCTGCCCAGTCCCAGCTGGCACCTTTGGGTCCTGCGCCCCAGGTTTGTTCTCCTGAGGGTGGCCTCCTCAAAACCAATTATTTGGGGACTGCCCCGCTGCCTCCTGCCCTGGCAGCATCTAAGTGCCCCTCTCCAGGCACGGGGCTTCTACCCCAGATGGTCCCTTTGGGGCACAGAGGGTGCCCCCCCTTCCCCAAGCCCTGTCCTCAGCTGGGCATGGGTGTGATGCTTCCCACACGGGCAGCAGGGCCCGTGGGTGCCGGGGGTGCCCACCCGCCACCGCACAAGGGATTCCTCGGGGCTGGCTGGGTGCCAGGCTCAGGGTTTGGCACAAACAATGGCAGCCCCAGCGACGGCTCCCCAGGGCCCCAGGGATCCTCCGAGCAGCCGCTCCGCTCCCGCAGCCGCCCGCCCCCGGCTCAGGCAGGGGAACACGTGCACCCGCCGCAGCCCACGTCGCCCGCCGCGCTCCCAGCCCTGGCGGAGGGGGGCTGCCAGCAGCTGCTGCCTGGCAACTGGGCACAACCCCCCCAAATCCCAGAGGTGGGGGCTTTTCTGGAGCTTGCAGCTGCATCGAGATGTGCAGAGCTCCATGCACTTATGCCGGGGGCACCTGTTCCCCCCACCACTGCCATGCTCTGCCCGTGCTCTGTGCCCACCTGCTTGGTGCAGCCCAGCCTGGCTGTGAGGAGGGGTGCTGGGTGCCACCACCATGCTCTCCATGCCCTCTTCATGCATGGCAGTGGCAGCAGGGAGAGGCTTTTGAGGTGCCCTTATTTGGGGAGGTCAGGGGTGGGGATTCTCTCACAAATACTATCAAATGTTGGCTGCTTTCTGTGTCTGGGAGCTGCACAGCACTGGAGAGCAAGGTCTGGCCACCCCAGTGATCTCAGATCCTCATTCCTTCCTGGCAGGCCGACATCGAGCAGCTGGACCCCCGAGGACGCACTCCCCTGCACCTGGCCACCACACTGGGCCACCTTGAGTGTGCCAGGGTGCTGCTGAAGCATGGAGCCGACGTGGGCAAGGAGAACCGCAGCGGATGGACAGGTGAGCGGGTGGCTGCTGCCCTCCTTCCTCCTGCAGGCTGTCCTGACGCTGAGATGGCCGTGGAAATGGGCATGGCCATGGACACAGATGTGGACAAGGACACGGGCACAGGCGTGGTCATGCTCGCCCTGGTGCTGCTCACACGGTGCTCTGTGCCTGTGGCTCCTGTGCAGTGCCCAGCTCTGCAGTGCCATGCTGTGCCCTGGGCACTGCCCCTTTGCCCCGCAGTCCTGCAGGAGGCTGTGAGCACCCGTGACCTGGAGCTGGTGCAGCTGGTCCTGCGCTACCGTGACTACCAGAGAGCCATCAAGCGCCTGGCCGGGATCCCTGTCCTGCTGGAGAAGCTGCGCAAGGTACCTCCCTCAGCAGGGGCTGCGGGGGCTGTGGCCACGGGCTTCCCCTGACCCCTCTGTGCTCTCCACAGGCCCAGGACTTCTACGTGGAGATGAAGTGGGAGTTCACCAGCTGGGGTGAGCTCAGGCCATAGCATGGCTGTGGGGGGAGCAGGAATTTCCCACCAGAGTCTCCCAGCCCCAGCGTCCATCCCCAGGTTGGGGGTCACCTGCCCCCTTGTCCCCTGACACCCCAAGCTTGCAGACCCCCATCCCGCCAAGGCGTCGCGTTCCCCAGGTGCCCCTCGGGGTGCAGGTATCCCCATCCCCAGCTGGGCTATCAGCATTTCTCCCCAGTGCCCCTGGTGTCCAAGATCTGCCCCAGCGACACCTACAAGGTGTGGAAGAGTGGCCAGAACCTGCGGGTGGACACCACGCTGCTGGGCTTCGACCACATGACCTGGCAGCGGGGCAACCGCAGCTTTGTCTTTCGGGGACAAGGTGAGGTGACGCCAGCACATCCCCCTCCCTGGGGAGTGCTGCTGGGTGAGCCGGTGGGCACCGTGGTTGTCCTGACCCCATTCCCTGCAGACAGCAGTGCGGTGGTGATGGAGATTGACCATGACAGGCGGGTGGTCTACTCAGAGACGCTGGCCCTGGCTGGCCACGACCAGGAGGTGCTGCTGGCTGCTGTGCAGCCCACCGAGGAGCAGGTGATGGGGCGGCTGACGGCCCCCGTCGTCACTACCCAGCTCGACACCAAGAACATCGCCTTCGAGAGGTGGGCTGGGGTGGCACCGAGCCCACACCCGGGGGTGATGGCACTCCAGGCTGTCCAAGCAAGCTCACGGTGCCGTGTCACCCCAGGAACAAGTCCGGAATCCTGGGCTGGAGGAGCGAGAAGACAGAAATGGTGAATGGGTATGAGGCCAAGGTGAGGGGCAGGGGGTTGAGCTGCCCAGAAGGGTATGGTATGGTGAGGTGGCCGCCTCTGCCATTCTCCCTCCTCCGTCAGGTCTATGGTGCTTCCAATGTGGAGCTGATCACACGGACACGGACCGAGCACCTCTCAGACCAGCACAAGGGCAAGAGCAAAGGTGGAGCCAGCACGGGCTGGGCGGGCAGGGCACCTCTGGCTGTGCCCTCACCCCCTCTTCTCCCACAGGCTGTAAGACCCCCCTGCAATCCTTCCTGGGCATCGCTGAGCAGCACGTGGGGCCCAACAATGGGGTGAGTGTTTCAGGGGTCAGAGGGGGTGGCCCTGCAGTCAGACCTCCCCTCTCACCCTGCAGGGCTGTCCTCCCATGCAGACACTGATCACGCAGACACTGAGCCACGCCAACCCCACTGCCATCACCCCTGAGGAGTACTTCAACCCCAACTTTGAGCTGGGCAACCGGGACATGGGACGGCCCATGGAGCTCACCACCAAGACACAGAAGTGAGAGGGGGAGGAGCAGACGGGGACTCCCTGTGTCCCCACCTCCACTGCTGCAGGGCTTGGGGTGGGGGGACAGGTAGGGGTGGGTCCCCAGCCCAACGCCTGTCCCTGGCAGGTTCAAGGCGAAGCTGTGGCTGTGTGAGGACCACCCGCTGTCCCTCTGCGAGCAGGTTGCCCCCATCATCGACCTCATGGCAATAAGCAACGCTCTCTTCGCCAAACTGCGGGATTTCATCACCCTGCGCCTCCCGCCCGGCTTCCCTGTCAAGATCGGTATGGACTGGGCTCTGCTGCTGACCTGACTGGCACAGCCAGCTTCCCTCCTCACTTTTTTTTCCCTTTTCCTGCAGAAATCCCCATCTTCCATATCCTCAACGCCCGAATAACCTTCGGCAACCTCAATGGGTGTGACGAGCCTGTCAGCTCCCTGCGGCACAGCCCCAGCAGCGAGGCACCCTCACCCAGCAGCGACTCCTCCAGTGTCAGCAGCTCCAGCTCCCTGAGTATGTGGGGGACGACATGGTGAGGTGGGATGGGAAGGTGTCCCAGTGGGGTCTGGGGGTACAGCTGGTGGCTGTGGGTCACAGCAGGGTAAGGGACGCACAACTGGCAGTGTGGAGTAGGAGGGGGGTCCCACAGGGTGCTCAGCCAGGCCAGCTCTGTTTTCCCCACAGCCTCGTGCCGAGCGTGTGAGATGGACCCGGCGCTGTTCGAGGTGCCGCGGGGGTACAGCGTGGTGGGCACCCACCAGGACGCCCTGCGGGAGGATGAGGATGACCTGCTGCAGTTTGCCATCCAGCAGAGCCTGCTGGAAGCGGGCAGCGAGTATGACCAGGTGGGCACTGCCACCCCCTCACCTCTTCCTGTATCCCTGGCTGAGGGACCCCGCTGCCCACCCCATCCCGACGCCACCCAGGATCCTCACTCACCCCACGTCTCCCCATCCCTGCATCCCACAGTGGCGGGTCAGAGCTCATGCTGGGGGGGCTGGTTTTTGGGATTGCCGCCCTCCAAGCACCCCTCTGGCACCGGCCACAGGTGACCATTTGGGAAGCACTGACCAACAGCAAGCCGGGCACCCACCCCATGTCGCACGAGGGCCGCCGGGGAGACAGGTTGGTAAGGTCTGGCCAGCCCCCCTGGGGGGAGTGGGTGTGGGGGCTGGAGCCACGGGGACCCCACTGAGTCCCTGCCGCCCCCAGGACTCCCCAGCACACGGCATCCCCGCATCCCCCCGTGGCCCCGTCGCCGGGGGGTGGTGGGGGGCCCAGGGCCCTGTTCCCCAGCTACGCCGAGCAGCTGCGCCTGGCTATGGCGCTGTCGGCGCGGGAGCAGGAGGAAGCGGAGCGCCGGACACGCCAGGAGGAGGAGGATCTGCAGCGGATCCTGCAGCTCTCGCTGACGGAGAAGTGACCCCGCACCCCCACTGAGCCCCTCGCCCACCCCATTGGGGATGGGGATGCGGCCGGGGCCGTGTCTGCAGGCACGGGAGGGGAGTGCTGTGGGGGTACCCAGTCCAAAAACTGCGGAGGGCAAATGGGAAAGGGGGGAGCAGGATTTGGTCCTGGGAGAACATCCCCAGAGCTGGGGCAGTATTGGGGTGAGGTGGGGGCACCCCACAGCAGCACAGGGTGGGGGTGGATGTTAACCCTGCACCTGGGGTGGCAGGGACCAGGGAGGGCAACTCCACGGACTGTACCCCTTCTCCAGGAGAGCCCTACTCCCCCAGCCGCCCTATGGGGTGCTGCTCAGCCCCTCACCCCAGGAAGGCGGTGGGAGGCACCTCCTGCCCCAGATGGGTGGGTTGCCAGTTGCGTGGGGTCCTGGGGTGCCCCCAGAGCCAGGGGGCTCTGCCCAGTTCTCTTTTCCCCCCCCGCCCAGGCGCTACCAAGTGCACTTACCCAGGAGCTGCTCTGCCTGCCAGCAGGGGTGGGGGCTCAGCACTATGGTACCCCACAGCCAGCGAGGGGCTGCACAGCCGCCCCCCATGGCACGGGGCCTGCTGGGGCAGCTGAAGGGGTGCCTGTGAAGGGCGCTCCGGTGTCACCCCCCTTAACCCTGCTCGCACCCCTCCACCCTGCTCGGATGCCCCACCTTGGCAGCGCTGCACCCCCTCGTCCCGGGCACTGACCCCGAGAGAAACCTTACGTCAAATGGTGCTAACCCCGGCCCCCTGCCCTGGCTGCTCCCCCTTTGCACATGGGGGGTCGGAGGCTGCAGTGGGGGGGGGGGGGGGCTGGACTTGCTCCCCTGGGATTTTTCATAGCTGGTGCCCCCCCCCTCCACCCACCCGTGCACCCCACAGCAACATCTGGGCCAGGGCCGGGGGAGCCCGAGCAGCTCCGACTGCGGCCAACACCAATAAATGCTCTTTAATGTTTGTCTCTCTCGACCTCCCTCTGCCTGTGCCGGGGCTTCACAGGCAGCGGGTGCTGGCGGCGGGGTGTAGGCAGCACCCCTGGCACGGTGGTCCCTCGTCCCCGGTACCTGCCACGCAGCCAAGGGTGGCTGAGCCCTTTATTAAAGGGGTCCAGGAGCAAAGAGCCGGGTGGGAGCGCCCGCCGAGGGGCCGATGGGGCAGGGGGAGGTGAGGGGGCTGATGGAGTGGGGGTGTAGCACCGTACACAAGCACATCCTGGCCGGGGGGCGCGGCAGCTCCCTGTCCTGGGAGGATGCTGGTGCTCAGCGTGCGGGTCCCCGCGGAGGGATGCTCGGCAGCCCCAGCCTGCGGGCACTGAAGCGGGACCCTCTCGGCTGCTGCGGGAGCAGGATGCGACTGATGCCAGCACAGGCAGGGTCAGAGTCCGACCCCTCCCTGCCCCCTCGGCTCCTGGGGAAAGGACACGGCTCCGGGCTCCTGCCCGAGGTGGGGACTCGGCTTTAATCCCCGGGAGGCCGGGGCAGTCCTGGCCCTGCCCGTGGTGGTGGCCGTGGCCACCGAGCTAGTCCGTGCCGTTGGTGAACTGGCAGAGTTTGTTCTCCAGGTCGCAGATGCGCTTCTCCTGCGCTTGGACCGTCTCCTTGAGGGCACGGATCTCCTCCAGCACCTCCTCCAAGGCTGGCTGCTGCAGGGAATGGGGACATAGGGTCACCGATGAGTCTGGGCCCACCCCTCCCCAGAGCAGGGGGACAGCCCTGCTGCCGCCTCCCTGTCCCCCGGACACTCACAGAGAAGTCAGAGTCACAAGTGGAGTGGCTGCGTCGGGGGCCTGGTGGGGGTTTGCTGTCCAGGATGTTCTTCTTGACCACCTTCAGCTCCCGGTTCTTGATGGGGACGTACCCATCCCGCAGCGAGATGAGGATGGGCTCTGCGTCCTTCCCTGACAGCCACTCATCTGCCTCCAGGGCTGGCTCGGGGCCTGGCGTGTCGGGGTACAAGTCATCCTGGAAGAGGTCTGACTGCGGGAGGGAGAGAGGCCATGGTGAGATGTGGGGTGTCTCCCCCCAGGCCCCCACCTCCCCTGGGATCCCCCCAGGCTCACCTTGCGTGGCACCGTCATGACGATGGGCTCACACTTGCGCTCGTGCAGCTTGAAGAATCTGCGTGGGGCGCAGGCAGTCAGGGCCCAGCTGACCCCCCTGACCCCTGGGGCTCCCCCCAGCCCCCTTGGCTCTCACCTGGCGATCTCACACTTGCTGACATCCAGCCCACGCTTGGGCATGAAGCCCATGCCCCGCTGGGGCTCCTTGCTGCTGTAGGTGTTCAGATAGTGCACATAGGGTGCCTCATCCGTGATCTCGAAATAGCGGATGCTGCTGTCACCCTGCAGGGGTGGGGGACAGGTGTCAGCCAGCCCTGGCACCCTCAGGGACAGGGTGGCAGGGGAAATGCACCCCAGGGAGGGAGGGGTTACCTTCCCGCAGAGGTAGACAATGCTGGAATCGGCATCATAGAAGGGCAGCAGGACCCCGTTGCTTGTGTCCATCTCTTGCAGAGCAATGGGCTCCTCAAAGTTATTCTGTGGGGCCGGAGCAGTGGTGGAGGGGTGTGAGCAGTGACCCCAAAACCCCCACCCTGGTTAGTCACACACATTAGCCACGGCACACTGGGGAACAGGGCTCGTCCCCTCCGGGGTACACATGGCATGCCCCCCCCGGGGGCACCAAGGGCTCCCCCCCCCCCCCCAGCACCCTGCCCCACCTGTATGGCTGGGTACCCCCAGCTCGGCTGTACCCCCCATCCCCAGCACCCCCTGCTTCCCAGCCCCCTCCCCAGCACAGCACGGCACACTCAGGAACTTGGCATCTTTTGGGAGGGGGATGCAGCAGACATGCCATCCTGGGGCAGGGGGGTTGGCAGGGGGGGCCAAGTTCCCAGGGCAGCACTCCATGCGGCCTCGTTACCGGGTCCCACAAGCCCAGCTCCCGCTGGCTCATTCTGGTAAAGCCCGTGGTAAAGATGTGTCCTTCCCGTGTGAAGATGGCCCGCACAGGCCTCAGCCCTTCGTGGGGGGCAAACCTCTCCTGGGGGGAGGGGGAGACAGTCAGCACGGGACACGGGAAGGGGGGAAAACGGAGGGGGTCCGGATCTGTCCCCCAAAACAGCCGCTGAGTCCTATTCCATGGCACTGCCTGAGCGCACGCGGTGCCAGAGAGCCTCCCCGGCACCCAGAGCGTTCCCTGTAGGGCTGAGATCCGTGGGATTTGCGCTGGCCGGGCTGGAGCCGCCGTCTCATACCAGGTCCCAGAGGCCCAGCTGCCGCTCGCTCATCCTGCTGAAGCCCGTGGTGAAGATCTTGCCATCGGCCACGAACATGGCACGGATGGGGCGGGTGCCGTCGTGCGGTTTGGTTTTCTCCTGTGCCGGCGTTAGCGGGTTAAATCAAACAGAGACGCGCGGTGCGGGGTTAGTAGGGTCAGGCAGGCACTGGGGGGGACCCCGCGGTGGGATGAGGGGGGACACAAGCAGGGGCACTCACCGCTATGATCTGCTGCTTGCGGGGGTCGATGACACGGACCTTCTTGTCCTTGCAGGTGGTGACGAGGAGGCTGCCGTTGCGGTTCCAGCCCACGTTGTAGATGAGGTCAGTGTGCATGTCATCCAGAGCCAGCAGCATCTCCCCAGTCCCCACGTTCCAGAGGATCACCAGGTTGTCACAGCCTGCAAAGGACCGAGGGGGCAGATGCTGTCACCCCATGGATCTCCCGTGACCCCGGGGAGGGTGACCCGGGACCCCCTTACCTGTGCTGAGCAGGACGTTGCGGGCGGTGGGGTGCCAGGAGATGATGCTCACCCGCTTGGAGTGTCCCTCCAGTGTCACCACAGGCTCTGTGATGTTGCGCACGGGGACATAGTCAGGGATCTGCCACACCTGGGGGGAGGACAGAGAGCTGGGCATTGGGGATCACCCCGTGTGTGAGCACTAAGAGGATGAGGGCCTCAGAGCCAATTAACCTCATCATTAATCCCGGCTCAGCCTGCGGGGAGGGTGGCAAAGAGACACCAGAAGCGCCTCCATCCCGGGGTGCATCCCCAGCACACGGGGTGCTGGTGGGCACAGGGAGGGGGGCACAGCCGGGGTGCAGCCCCCAGCCCCCCCCAGCTATTCCTGCGTGCTGAGTCGCCAGGGAGGGTATATTTAGCACAAAGTGCTGCATCATGGAGCGAGCAGCCGCCGCCAGCGTGAACGCATGGCACCGGCGCTAAAAATAGGCCAATGACACTTCACAGGCAGCGAGGGGGGGATGCTCTGCATTGCTCCCCCAGTGCCTGCCACCCCCTCCCCATGCGGGGTCCAGCCCCTCACCATGACGGTGGTGTCCTCCGAGGCGCTGGCGATGACGTTGTCATTGTGGGGACACCAGTCGATGTCCAGCACGGGCGCCGTGTGTCCTGTCACCAGCGGGTGGTTCTTGTCCACCCGTCCTGTCTGCAATGGTGAGGGGTCAGGATGAGTCCTTTAGGGGAGACCCTGCCAGGTGCCCCCCAAAGCCCAGCCTGGCCATCACGTGGGGTTGTGACACAAATGGGGGCACGCAGGGGGTTCCAGCGGTGGCCAGAGGTTTGCACCTGCCATGAAGGGGGAAACTGAGGCACACAGGGAAAATGGGGCTCACCTGGAACAAGGCCTTGTAGGGACACAAAGGGGAACAATGTGACCCCTGAGAGGCTGTTTTGTGTCTGTTCTGATGGCAAGGAGGGGTTGGGGACCCTCTCCCAGCCTCTGTGCCAGGGTTGGCAGAGACTCCACTGGGTGCTGCTCCCTGGGCATGCTCTGACCCAGGGAATTGGGGCTGGGGAGAAGGCAGCCGGGGGTTTCCCAGATCACCTTGGTTGCCCCAGGGATGTCACCCTTGGCAGGTGCCAATGATCACCCAGGTTGTTCCTGCCCTGAGTCCCCACATCAAGAGAGGGTGTTGGGGCAAAGCTGGGGGCTCTGGGGCCACAGCAGCTCCCCAAAAGCAAAACCCATCAGCATGTTCCCCCCAGCACATC